CATGGGAACAGGACACGTCGAAGTCTTAGACAAACTCGACAACTTGTACAAGCAAAGAAAGGAAGAGAAAGTAAAACATTTGGCGCAGTTTAGCAACCTTGATACGAACTGAGATAAATGCATCCACAGGTTTAAGAGACCACGCGGCAGATTTAGAGGAGGCAAGTAAGGAAACAAAGTAGACTTTAGAACTACCAAAGATTGGAGTATCTGCAGTGTCCGAATTATCCGAGAAAGTCTCGCGAAGAAAGCTAGATAGAAAGCACTTGCTTGTCCCAAGAGAAAAAGTAGGGGGTATTTCGTTGAAAGCGCGCAACGCGAACTTAGAGAATTTCACTTTTAAGTTACCGGAGCTCTAGTACCCAGCGGCTTACATTGAATCTTTTCATGAGTGAAAAACATCTCTCTGATTCTTCCTTTACTGATGATAAAGCTCGCAAATCTTAACACGCCTGTAGCTTATCTTTTCCGTAAATCCTCTTACCGACAGAGCAGAGGGGTTTTATTAAGAATCATAAATGATTTGCCTGTCGTTCGCCAGTTGTCTTCATTTAAGCATTTTATGGGGACCTTCAGTCAGGACGGCAACGCCAAGGAAGACTTCGATTAAAAAATGAATTTCTGCCTTTAATTAGAAGTTCAAAAATGGCTGCATGTGTTTACCGTCTCGTACGGCGCCAACCCACGACGGCGACAGCAACGAGGACATGGAAAAACAAAATATCTAATTGGCAGAATAGCTCGGCACGTGTGTTCTAAACCCTTGTACATTTCTTAGCTGTCCTATGCAAAACAGCAACGTGAAATTACCACAATTTGTGTCGTCTGCGAACCTAAAAACCGCGACGCAATTTCTATTGGAACCCAACGCTTCTTTTATCCGTTGAGGTGTGCTTAAGGTCCCTATTGAATGCGAGTCATCAGTCACGGTTTATTAGTCAAAAGGATTCCATAATCACTGACCGCACAAAAGACGATAACAAGGTTAATTTATTTGTTATCAGTTATATGACTAATGATAGCTGAAAATGTTACAACTCAGACAGAAGTAAATGGCAAATTAAAGGTAGGTGATTACGTTACCCTGCTTGAATAAAACACGGCCTGATCAAATTGCGTGTAAACTAACATGTGACGAGCTGTTAAAGAACTCTTTCATTTTTGAACGATGGTTGAAATTTCGATCAACTCCGCACAAAGTCCGTGATCTAAAGCTAAAAATGGGAAACTAAAAATTTGGAATTGGTGACCGCAGTAATTGAAAGCAGCGAAAGCCAATTTGGATGTACAGACTGAACTTTAACTTATTAAGATTTGACAAAGTTTGTAAGGAAACCTTGCTCTTGACTGAGGCCATAGGTTAAAATCATCGATGTGGATTTTACACCAAGAGACGAGAAATGATTTGAAGCACATCGTCAATGATCCATTAAAAAAAGGAATAGGGAGCAATCTGTTGCACAATTAAAATAAAAAAAAAACACTAAATGCCAATTTGCACGAATCAAATGGCTTACCGCGAGTCAAAACACCGATCGACTATTAAAGCCGAATAATACAAATACAAACGGTGAAGTGAAGTACTGGGTCAAGTAAGTTCGGTCAAACTTACGCAAGAGCAGTAGAAGGTTCTTCTTTTTTCTCCGAGCGTAACTTACGTTCAACGCTCTGGTTTGACTTAAGAGACAGACATCAATAAAAATAAAGACAAGACCATTTTCGACTTTCAACCGAACACAAAGAAGTTTTATATAATCCATCCTTGTGATCCAATTTTGCTACTGACAAAAAAAAAAAAAAAAAAAAAAAAAAAAAAAGAAAAAAGAAAAAAAACAGAGCTGAAAGGTAGAGCAAAACAATGCAGCTACAAAAGAGGGAACTGTTTACCTCAAATACGTTTCAGGTATATTACCGGAAGTTATAAGAAAAATTACGTCTTTTCCAAACTCGTTTCACGGTTTGAAGAATTCAGTTCAATTTGGTAGTAATTGTGTCTTTTTCTCCTTTCTGGCATAAAGCAATCTTGTCATTATCCGGCAGTTTTGATAATTTTTTGCCGTAGAAACACTACTACACTTTACTCAAGTATAAAAGCTATGGAAAACATAATCATTAGGCGTGTGCCTATCACTTCCTATATTGCGCTCTTGCTTCAAACTTTTCCACTTAACAAACCAACCACTTCACCTACATAATACAGACGTTCAAGGAAGTTCTGTATTGCTGCTTGGACATCGCTGGGAATCGATAGCCGTGGAATACTAGTTGGCCAATATATTTAACTTGCGACATTTTAACAGTTCAAAAAGTTACCTCAAGTTGAAGGAAACCACAAACAATTTACTTGGTAAGATAGGTAGAACTTCTAAGAGTTAACCCCCAAATTAAAATGTACTGCACATGACACACATGAACTGAATCATTCAGACTCAAAAATATTTTGACAAGATGCTCGACCTGTGGGATTTTTTCATGTTCAGACCAAGGAGAACAAATCTGCGTCCGCAAGTGCTAATACAGTGAGCCAAAAAGGAAATTTCTGCAAAGTTTTTCTCGGTCCAGCGGGCAATGAAAGGGAAGTTAGAAAGTGCTGATACAGTGAGCCTAAAAGGAAATGTCTGGAAGTTTTTTCTAAGTTCGGCGGAACAAGGAAAGGGTAGTTAGCGTTGTAAACGTGACTTAGAAACCAAGATCGCTGTCGCATCCACTTCCGGTCATGTTCGAATTATTTAGTACACGGATGTTTCGAGAGAAGGTTGTCGGAAATAAAAGTGTAAAACTGCATGGGACAACTTTACCCAGAAAGAATTATGGGTAGTTTTCAGGTAAAGGTTCCTTTACTCTTGATTTAAAGGAAATCCGCTGAGAATACGTCACTGTAAGCATGAAGCATTGCGGGTTTGATCACAGGCAGCCCAAGCTCCAGCTGTGAGATGATCATCGATCATCTTGCGAAATAAGAATCATGGCGAAATTATAAGAGTTTGTATGGAAATATTTACGACCGCTCTTAGGAATATAAGAGAAAAGGGCTTTTCTTTACGTAGTACACCTAGAAATGAATAACTCGATAAAATAGGTTCTTTTCAACATAGTAAATGGTCAGATAGCAAGCGATGCACCGTTGAAGTAAGGTGAGGTATTTTTATTGAGAATTTGACCGTATTTATATAACTAAGAGCGGTCGTAAATATTCCCATACAAAACTCTTATAATTTTTCCATTTTTTGCATGCTCACATCCGTCATCAATAAAAAAGTTGTACCTACAAAACCGAAATACATTTACGTACATTAGATGGCGCCACGTCAAAAGTAGGATAACATCCGTCTCTCCTTATCTTTCCTTCATTGGAAGGAACAAAATGAATTTCATTTAAGCTTTTGTAACGGACATTCGGAATTCATATTTTTCACATAACAGTTGGAATCCTGCTCGAGGCTGGAGAGTAAATAGATAGCCCTTCGGCTAACTCAGAGGATGTCGAAATTTAATCTTCAGAGAAGATTGCTTGATAGAAATCATTATGTCCAGTGACGGCTAAAATACCAGTTAATTCGCCGAATTTAGTCAATGTTTGGTAGGTCTAGGTGGAGTTAAAAACGTTAAACCGACTTTGCCGTCTATGAATTTCTTTTAATTTTTATCGCACATATCAGAATTCGCTTCCGCCAAGTCATTTATCACATCATTCATAGTTGAACGAGGTTTGAAGCAGTTTTTAAAACCGATAATCCAAGCCAGAACGATCTCCTTAGTCTATGTCAAGGCAAATTAATGGAAGTGAATCAGTTGTTTTCATAGACAGCACTTATTACAACCTGTAGCCTTCAGTGCCCAGCTAAGGGAATAATTTTAACCGTCTCTTTTCGTCCTTTGAGTGTTTTGCAACACACGTCATACGTCAGTCACATCAGGCAACCATTAAAATGTGGCGTAGGATTTCTTTTATACCAAGCGCAGGACAATCTTTTATTTGTGGAGCGTTATTCTAATGTATGTACCGAGCGCCTTTTCACGACAATTCACTTAGCGTGGAAACTGTGAGAATCTACCCAACATGAACATGGAAATATTCTCCACAGTTAGATATGAATTAATGAACAACCGGTAAGCCTAGGAGCCAAGTGAGGAAAACGAATGAACTCGCTCCAAGGTCAACTGGAGAAGAAGCAAGGAAGTAAATGAATTTATTTGTTTTCATGTTAATTGTCCCTCAGTAATTCGTTAGGGGAGGAAGCTTTCTCTTCTATTCTCCTATAGACCTCTCTCAGCCTCCAGGACATTTTCGAGTGGGCGGAGACAAGCCTGGGGCGAGCTAGAGGAAGCACGTGAGGGTGCCGAGCCTCAGATCGATGCTTTTGGACGATTTAAGTTTTTAACTCTGACAACTCACTTTTAAACGGTCAAATCTACGAAATACTTTAAATGAAGTAGACCTTGACGCGGAAGCTAAACAGTGCGCGCAACAAAGAAAGTATGATTTTATTACACTTATTATTTTAGAAATATTACATCACAACTTGGATTTAAAAAAAAGTTGCCTCTACATGCTTTTGTCAAGAGCCTTGATGCCTTTCTTACCCATATCAAACTTACGTTTAACATCTGCCTCTTTAGATTTTCGTGACATGTCACGCAGTCTGAGGTCAGTCAAAAACACGCTAATTTTCGAACATTTCCCTCTTTTTCGTGTATTTCATTTGAATTGCTATCTTACCTTCAGTTTCTAAAACTAACGTACATAAGCTTTCTATTTCACTGCATTTGAAGGCAATCATTAAAATATTTCGTTCGGGTTTTTGAGACTTATGGTTAGCGATTCAGACATGTCGAAGAGGGGTTCGTGCCACATGCAAGCAGTGGCCATGGAGTCTGGGGCTATAACTCTAAAGCGCATGCCTAAAACTGGTCATTACCGCGAAATACGAAAAAAACAATAAATTTGGCGCAATTTGATGTATAATACATGAGGTTTGGATATTGTTTGGGTTCGGGAAATGGGACTCGAAGCTTACGCGCTGGTGATTTTTTCTTCGCTGGCTCTTCTCGCGGTGGCGGTAGATGCACAAAACGATTTCGGCGAAGAAACAAATGGTCCAAAAGGGGAAAAACTGCCTTGGTTTACTTACGAAATAAACAAGTAAGTAAAAATTTCCCTTATCGCAGTGTATTCCAACCTGTTTCTTTTTTCTTTTTAATTTTTTTTCAATTTTTTTCACCGAACTGATTTTTTTTTAATTAGCTATCTCATATATTCCCTGTCGAAGAAGTCTGATCAAGAGCCGAACGACAAAAGTGCTGATTCTGTGATTGTGGGAATCGTGGAAAAAATATTGAGGGAATCTGAGATTCGCGGAGTTGTTATAAATTCCAGAATTCTCAACGTCTTCAGGAAAAAGATTTCTCTCCTCCATTCAGCGTTCAAGAAAGCGTCAAAAAGTGGGGGGAAAAGTATAAAGAAGCCTGTTGATGCGTGGAAGGCAAAAAACTACTCCTTCAAAATTTTCTATCATGAGCTTGAAAACAACCCATTGATTGAGGAAAACCAACAGCTTCGTGGACAGAAAAGGAAAGCTGAACTGGATTTAGCCGCAGAGCAGGCAAAGCGATTAAAAATTGAGCAGGAGCTTGAAGATGTTATTAGGGATTCGCAAAACAGAAAAGAACAATACAAACAAAAATTCAAAAGATTAGCGAAAAAAGCAGCAAGAATGCAAAAAAAGGGACAAAGAGGTCCAAACAAAAGCAAACGTTTCACTGATTATACCAAACAACATCAGGCAAGATTAAGGCGAGGATTTAAAGAAGACTGCCAGTCAGCACTGTCATTTTTAGGCCTCTACAATTTTATTGCCACCAAGGTTGAGGTATTTAATAATGACACTCAACAGTATGAAACTATTTCATTGGTAGAAGAGGGAGAGTTACAACTATTGGAAACAGAGCCAAGAGAGCTGACTGACAATGATATTGATGACATCAATATGTGGGTTTACTTGAAGGACAAATTGAATATATCTAATGAAGCTTGGCATGAGTTGGCTGAAGTGTAAAGACATACCCACAAAATATAAAATATGCAAACACCTAGATAAGCTAAATGCCAATTGGAATCTGAGAAGTACACCAGGGGAGGCAGAGGGAGTACAGATTTCTTTCAGGGAGAGTCTTGAGGAACAGATAAAAAGGCTGCAGAAAAATGGAGTATTGGACAAGGTTACTACTACTAAAGTAAAGCTCAGTGGTGATGGTACCAACATTGGGAAAAGGCTTAAACTTGAAAATGTCACATACACAATTTTGAATGAAAAGGATGCAGCAATGAATGAAAAAGGGAACTATGTTCTAGCAATAATTAAGACAACAGAGAACTATGACAATAAGAAAGCCTTGCTGATCTAAATAATGAAATGTCAAATTTAGAAGAAATAACTGTAAATAGTCATAAGTATAGTTTTGAGTATTTTTTGGGAGGAGACTGGAAGTTTCTAGCCTGTGTTTGTGGTTTAGGGGCTGCTAATCAAAATTTCTCTTGAATTTGGTGTAAGTGCCCAGGAAATGAAAGGTTTGACATCAGTAAAAAGTGGTCTATAACTGACAAATCTCTTGGGGCGAGAGATTTACAAGAAATAGGTAAGTATGCAAAATCTAAACAATATAATTGTAAAACCAATCCATTATTTGATTTTATTCCTATTGACCATGTAATAATTGATACTCTACATTTATTTTTGAGAATATCTGATAATTTAATTGAACTTCTGATCAGGGAACTTCACAGGAAAGATGCCATTGACAAGGTATCTACTTTTTCAAATGGGTTTTGTCAAAATAAGTATAGACATATGGCTGGGTATGAGAAATTTGTAAAAGAACTTGGAATTAATTTTGAATGGAAAATTAATAGGGACAGCAAGAAGTTGGAGTACAGAGACCTTACTGGACCTGAAAAACTCTTGCTTTTCCAACATATTAATTTTCACTTACTAAGTACTATCACCAGTTTTTCATAATGTGGACAAGCTGCAAGCCCTTTGGGGTAATTTCATAGATATTATGGGTGATCTTAAACTTAATTACACTACAGATGATGCTATCTCTAGCCTCAAAGACAAAATCAAAAAATGGTTTCAAAAATTCTTAGACCTTTACCAAGCAAAAGATGTAACACCATATATGCATTCTTTGTATGCTCATGTACCTGAATTTTTAAAGCTCTACCAAAATTTAGCTTATTACACTCAGCAAGGTATGGAGAAGTACAATAACACTGCATCAAAGGACTACTTTAGATCATCTAATCATAGAGGGGTTTCTGCTCTAAAGCAACTTTTCTTGAAAAAACACAGAATACAGCTTTTGGAAGTTGCTGGTTTGGAAAGGGTGAAGGAAAGCTACAACTGTGGAAACTGTTCAACTTCTGGCCATACCATCAAAACATGTACTGCAAAATGCAGCAAATGCGATGCTCCCACTTTCTGTGCACATCTTGTTAAAATAGATGGTAAATGGAAGCCAAGATGTGATTTAATCAATCAGTAATCATATAATATATCTATATATGAAAGGAGTGTATTACCCAAAAACTGTTAGTAGAAGTTGTATAGAATAATTTGCTATGCCTGTGAAATGTTTCTTGTATACAGTATTCAAGGAGTCTTTTTCAAAAATGTTACTGCATTGATTACAACAGAATCACAGACTGAAATATATTGGTCATTTATAACCACATGTTTACATTTTATGAAGGTAATTCACATGCAAGTAAAATAATTCTTTGACATCAACTATCAAAATCAATAAACATGTGCTAAATCACATATATTAATGATGGACCATATTTTTGTATTTTTGTATTTTTGCTAAACTTCGAAAATATTTTCATCCAATACTAAGTAGGCGGCCAAGAAATAGATGACAATGATGTGAGACCAAAATAGCTCGCCACACGTGTCTTAAGGATCTATCAGACATTAGCATCATAATTGCGAAATAGACCCTTCATAGCTAGGAAAACTCAGATATTCAATGCAAACAAGCATTAGTAGTTGACAAAAAAAACAAAAAAACAAAAAAATACAAACGAGTATGGAGCGTAATTAAACTCAAAAATAAATGTTTAATTATGATATCCACAATTTCAGTGATGACATTGAGATATGCAATTGTGCTACTCCAATGTGACTTCTTAATATGCTGTTTGGTCCTTGTGTTATGACATTGTGCTATCACATTTGACTATTTTGCTTTTACAATGTGCTGATTTGTCACTGTACCTTGGCGTTCGGCTATTATACTTTGCTATTTTTGCCATTGCATTCTAGTATTCCTCAATTTCGACATTAGGAATAGCAGTTTTGCTGTTGTGATTTGTCATTTTCATAGCGTGCGTTTCATTATGGTGTTTTGTCAAGGTAACATGCAGTTCGGCATGACACTCAGAAACGAGTTTCGGACAAGATAAATTATTTCCCGCCAAAATTATAATTATGTTAATTTGTTTCCGTGTACTGGAAAATTTACGAAATTTATTTCAGCCGTACACGTGACTACAAATCAATATGGCTCCAGTCTCTGGTCGTCCGCCTGAACTGACTAAATGAGTTTTAGACTTTTTCATCGCCGGAATATCGCTGAACGACCCCGCTGAACAAGAAAGGCTGCCTTCCCCTCGCTACGTAAGTAACCATTTCTTGTTTGACACATCGGTGTTTTCTCTCGCATGATATTTCATTGCTCCGCTTTGAGACACGCGGTTAACAATAGCCTCGAACAAGGAATTAAGATTTAACTCATTAGCTTTTACTATTTTTATCATCCAATCACAGGTCGGAGCCATTCCTGTAGTTAGTCGCTTGTGCCGGAGAGTAATGTGAACACATTACTATACTAAAATGGTTTGTTAGTCGTTTTAGTTCTCAGCGGCAGAATTTCGTCAAAATTGGTGTTTTTTGCCGTACGTGGTAGGTAATTTTACAATATGTTTTAACCAAGAGTTTCATTCAACTACATATGTCTAACCCAAGGTATCTTTCTGGATTGGAATGTAAGAAATGGTATGGTACTGTGTGTTAACTAACTTTGTAGCTACAATTTTCAATAGTTTGTCTGAGTATGTTAGGGTAGCTGAGTGAGGCTGTTAAGTTACAATGTTTTACCTTTTTTTTATCTTCAACGAGGTCATAACATGAAGCAATTTTGTCTTCATTCTTTAACTCCCAAGATCTGTTTGCTAATTCTCCCCTCTAGTTTCTAGATGTTTCCTTGCACCTTTGTTACAGGAATTTGTTGTTAGATCAAGATAACGACTTACTCTTTTATTGGATATTGTAGAAATAATTTAGGGAGAAGTTACATGTAAATCACATCTGGGGGTTTAAGGGTTAAACAGTGTGATGTGATGCACTGCTACCTAAATTTCACTGAAGTTCAAAATATCCAGAACTTTAGCATTCCCTACAAATTTATTCAAACTGCAGCTTACTAATTCTGCAGAGCAGTTGCAATATGCAACTCTAATGGTTATTTCACAATTTTGACAAGTACTAGTTAATCTTTCATTTACTCAGACTGAAGGGAAAAGGAAATTGTTCATTAACTTGAAAGGTGATTGATAAAGAAACCTTGAGACTTCACCTTACCCAGACTATTTTTTCTACAAGCCTGGTGTAACCAACATGCCAGCAGTAAATTTTAGATGGGTTTAATTTCCTGATGACTGGACTGAACTCTTCTATCTACATGCCATTTCCAGTGGTTTCTAAGCAAAGTATTACGAACATAATACATCAAGAACGGAATGACTAATTATGAGATTGGAAATAACATAAGAAATACAAATAACAAGAATTATGTATAACATAGGTAATACTAATAATATAGGAAACATGGGTCACTTGACAAAAGAGCAATTTAGCTGACGATTTTGGAATATATGGCTGGGATAACAAGGTACTGGCAAGTACCTTTTAACTCAAGCTCACACCTTTTTTATTTGCATGATCTGCGCAAAAGTCAAACTTATATGGCTAGCTGTGTGGACTGGGGCTAGGGGGGGATTGATTTCTACACCTGGTGTCTTCTCTTGATTTTCTGAGCTGGAAGAAAATGTCTTGTACGAAAATTGTGCTCAATGGAACGACACCCCCCTTGATCTTATCCAGTTGTTATTGTTAGTTCCAAAGAAGTGAATTTATCTCACATTTGTGCGAATAAAAATATGTTATTGTTAATTTGCAGAGTTTATCAAGCAGTGAAGATGATGACATTGCCTGAAAACAAAAACCAAAAGAAAATCAGAAGAGGAAGAAGAAAGGAAAAAACTTTATTGACTCAGGTAATGTCTTAGGGTGAACACTAACAGTTTCAAAAGGAACAGATGTTGAGACTCTACACAAACTATTACACCTCTGTTTTTGTTTTAATGGTGTACTGTGCTGCACAGTGTCCTTGTCAATTCAAAATGCGATTTGCATTATTACGAAAACATGATGTAAAAAGATTCACATAATGATGTGTACAACATCACAATGATGTCCTGACCCTAGTTCTAAATTAATCTTACATCTCTGTTAGATTCTGATGAGGATCCTCTTCCTCCAAAAATCAGGTATGTGATTTGTTTTTTCAATTTTGTTCCATTTTATACAGTTATAATTAACCTATGACCCTAATAACACCACTGAGTCAAGAGTCAAGGAAATGATCACCAACTATAAAAGCTCTTGATTATTAAACAAATTCTCCTTGTCAGCACCTTGGAAAATGCATAGAGAACCCTCTGTATGGAGAATATTGTCTCTGATGTCAGGTTGTATTCAGAACTTGGTTCTCTTTCACTCATCTCTGTTTCAGAAAAGCTACATCAGTAAAGAAGGAGGACAGTTCAAAAGCTAATAAAAGTAGAAGAGCAATCAGCTTGGACTCAGGTAAGGAAATTATGTCTACTTATTGAGGGTACCCGATACTTTTTACACGAGAGGTGATGTGGAGACTTTATCTTAACGGGAATTGTGATATCATCTTTTTCGAATAATTATGTATATTTTTAATATTTTATGGGATTAACAGTTTTATTAACAGGTTAGAAAGAGATAAAATATGAATTTGGTTTAATTTTTTTTCTTTGGTTTTATTTTTTTTTTCTTCAAAATGTGATCGTTTTGAATTTCATGTGAATGTGAAAACATTTTGGATACTTTTCATGATGAATAAGATGGCCAAATATTTTTATGTGACTGAGTTCGACACAAGGGTTTTAGCAGACTCTGCTTATTGATGGGGTGGGAGGGCTGGATAGGGAAATATTTAATGTGAGGTGAGCTTGAGGTACAGTAGGATGATGTCAGTTTTTTTAACATCACACATGACCTTTAACATTGCTTATGTATTAGCTTGCCAAAGAAAACAAATCCATCTGCTTCATTCAAGGTTCAGCGCACTTACCATTAGACCACTCTGCTTTTAATAGAATTTGAATATTATAGCACTTGAGTTATATTTTGATGTGGTTTCTACAGATGAGGAAGAAGTTGTGCCCAGTAAATTAAAAAGTCTGCAAAACAGACAGACAATGCAGCTTGTAAAGAGGTCCAGCAAGTTAAAGAGAGGTATCATCCATCATTCTCTTTCATTATAGTTGACATTTCAGTACCAAACCATGGTGTTTAGAAAATAAGATATTGCTGTGGAGAATCATCTGGCTTCTTCTAAAATTATCCAGCCAAATTTTGTTTGTCTGTTTGTTTGTTTTTTTCTTTCTTCCATCAAGCATCAAGAATGTTAAACCTGTCTTAGGACACTGCTCATATGCTAATACATTTAACCCTTTGACTGCAAAGAGTGACCAGCATCTAATAATTATTTCTCTTTACAATATTCCCCCTGAATCAAACATTAATATGCATTTATCGCTTTTTTTTCATTGAAATTAGGTTATTTAAATGGTCTTCTTTCACTGGAGCTTCTTTTTGGTGAAAGATGATTTATAAAAATTTACTGTGGATTGTGTTTGCTTTTCTTGTTTCTCTAAAATTTTAACAATTGGATTGGCATTTGTTACACACAGGTGTCAAGGTGAAGGTCACAAGAATAGAGGAAATGATCACCAACTAAGCTCTTGATTGTTAATCAAATTCTCTTTGTCAGTACCCTAGGAAATGTATAGAGAACAGTATGGAGAATATGCATACTGAGTTGTTAAGGGTGAAAAATGAAAAACAAACAAACAAACAACAGCAACATAATAAAGACAGTGTCACACAGTCATCAAGGGTGAATTTAACACAGTGTTGTTGTGTTACTAAAATATTTAACACATGGAGTGTTATTCTTGCTTCAGTCCAATCAAACCTAAAGAGAAAAAAGCAACTTCTGCACTTGATTTCTTTGGTTCTACTCCAGTTGAAAGGGAATCCAGGAAAACATTTGCCAATAAAGGAAAACAGGTGAATGACTAACCACACTTTTTCCACCCAGAATTTTTTTGTTAAGAAAAAATCAGGCATCCTGTGTATTTTAAACAGTTCTTCATGCATCATGCATTTAACAAGGAAAACTTTAAAACTCACCATACCTTGCCTTTCTATAAAATTCATGCATCACATATTAATTTTGGGCTTAATCATGCTTCCCTTGTAAACCCTCTGCCAATCTCTTATACTAACAGTAGTTATACTGTTATACTACAGTTAACACATACCATGCCACAAAATTAATGGGTAATGACCAGTGTTTGAGTCATGCATTATTTAATCATATTCAAGAAACTTTGTGGATGGGGAGAGGAGATGTTGAAGAATAGTTTTGGCAAAAAGAACAGCGTGGGCCCCGTTAAAGGGATAAGTCCTTTTGCTCCTAAGATATTTAAATCAACTGTCTTTACTGTCTGTCACACAAGTGTTATGAAAATATCGTTGAGAACATGTTGTTCAAGCAATAAATATCCTCTTGTGTGAGGACTTTCTTTCTTCTGATATTATATTGCTGCCTGACTGTGAATTGGTATTGTTATGAGAAATTAGAAAATTGATCACTCTTGAGAGTGCAAATTTTAAGCTTGACCCAGAGCTCGACCCACTTAATGATCATCCCTTAGTTCCTTGCAGAACAATCTATAATTTTTTATCCTTTTTCATTTCCCACAGAGATCTGACAAGTCTGAAGAAAATGAAGACTCCAAAGTGAATAGAAAAGAAGAGTATAAAAATGGGAGAGAAAAAGAAGGAAGAGAAAATGGGAATGTCAACCATCAAACAACAGAGCAACCATCAAAGAAAAGAAAGGAAGACTTCTCAGAATCAAAGTCTGAGGTTAAAAAGCCTTCCCCTGAGAAGAAAAAGGTTTGTAAGCCTTTTGATTACCATGTACACTTTATTGTTACAAAATTAATTATTACTATTAATCCTTAATTGAACCTGCTACCATGATACTAGAATGGATCGGATCTGATATGATAGCATGTGTATGGTATGTTGTTTAGGCAACTTGTCATTAAGCACTTGAATAAGGTACTTGTAGATGAACCAGTAACATTTTATGACTAAATTTGGCTTTGTATAGGATCCAAAAGCTCACTCAAATTTGTTAACTGGTGGTACATGTTGTATCCTACTATGACAGTAGATGGTTTTTACTCAGATGCACATTACTAACAATACTTGGAACAAAACATTACTTACAATTATACTAACACTACACAAAATACTACCATTACTGTACCTAGAATCTATACAAAAACAGTAACAATAGTGACAAAACTTTTAGGTACATTCTTGGTGATTTTAACTTTGACAATCTGGGAAGATATTACCACTTTGTCTCCATTTTTCAAAGCAGCAGTGTCTTTCACTATCAACATTTCTTTTTGGACAACTCTTGCCTCAATTGGACAACTATTACCTGTTAGAATGTTTGATATACATATAACATTTGTTCACTTCAAATTTTATCCATGGACTCTTTAGGAAGTACCAAAGACAACTCCTGCTAGCAAACTGGCTGTCAAAGCTGCCACAGTTCCAGAAACTCCATTTAGAGACTCAAAACCAAGTGCAAAGAAAACTGTTACTCCCGAAAAAGAATAAAAAGATGTTAGTAAGGAAACTCCAACCCAAGGAACACCAAAGGTGTCAAAATCAGAGGAAGTGGTTGAAGTTCCACCCTCATTGGAAAAGAAAAATCTGGCCTCCGTAGTTTTATGGCGAGAGATGGTCCTAGGGCACTTGGTTCAAAGGAAATCCCTCAGGTAGGTTTCAAAGACCAAGATCTGATTGTTAATTCTCCCCTCTAGCTGCTACACATTTTTCTGTAAATAACGAGAATTTGTTGTTAGATCATTAATAACAACTACGTGTACTTGATAAGTTTTAGTGTTCTCATTACCTGTTTGCTGGATAATCTATGGATATTCTAGAGAGAAGTTACATGTTAATTTCTTCCAGTAGTTAAATTATTATTATCTCTCAAAAGCTCTTTGCGGTTTGTTTTCCATCCTTTCAAATTTTAATGAGAGATGCAAGACAAAGGAAAATGAAGATTACTAGAATTAAAGCTGGTTTGGAAAATCTGCAGATACAGTTTACTGGAAAAATTGTAAAATGCATGCTTTGATTAAACAAAAAAATGTATTTTATCCTTTTACCATCAGTTGATGTTCAAATGTTGGTTCAATGTCATGCAGTATCTGAGAAACTGCACACCTACCCCTCCCCTAATACAACATTAACCCTTACTTGTTAGCGGTTGACGGTTGTTGGGTTAGGGGGAGAGTTAATTATTTGTCTGCTCATCTTGAATTATGCATACACTTGATAATTTAGTTTTTAGGAAGCAGACAACTGTTTGGATGGACTGACATTTGTTATTATGGGAATCTTGGAAAGTATTGAGAGAGAGGAGGCAGCAGATTTGATTCAAAGATATGCTGGAAAAGTTACCCACTCAGTGAGCAAGAAAAAGAGTTATATTGTCATGGGATGGGATCCTGGAGAGAGCAAACTTTCCAAGGTACATTGTAATGTACAGCTCAAAAGAGGATAAAAAAAAGAACTGTGAACATAAACATGTAAGCTGCACCTTTTCCCCTAATTTTTATAACAAATCCGCGTGCGGCTTACAGCTAAAACACCTGGGAAACTTGCCACAAATTTGCATAAATTAACACAATTCATTGACAATATGTAACTCTGTAGAGCAAAGTAACAAGAACTGAAAAATTTACCATGGTAGAAATTTATCATTTTCTTTTTGTTGTTGGTTTCTAAAAGAGTTTTTTTTTTCCATGAGCATAAACTTATATTTCTTGCTGTGGAGTTCATTAAATGTTTCTTTGTTGAGAAACCTTGTTAACTGGTGTAAGGTCGTCTTTCCTTCCTTGAATAGCTAAACATTACTTGGCTAGAAACCTATGGTTCCTTTGGTTTTGTTGTTGTTGTTGTTTTTTTGTTTCTTTTTTTTTTTTTTACTTTGGTGCTTATCTGTTAGGCTAAGCAATGTGGAACATCACAAATAGATGAAGATGGTCTATTTGAGCTTGTCAGAACAAAACCAGGCAAAAAGACCAGCTATGAATCACCAAGTGTGGAGAAGAAGACAAAGAAGAAGGAGAAAACTGAACCAATGGAGTCCTTCGGCCAGGAAAAAGATCAGTTTGAAGGTGATTTGTCACAACTGAGTGAAAGATGTGTCATCTCTAACAACACAAACACCATCATCATCACCTGCACTGAAAGCTGGGTGTTTCAAACCTTTCTAACAATTAGCATAAGAGTATGACTTCACTAAAAATTTAATTCACACTTCAGCTGTATGCCTTAAATTATTTCCTTACCAGTAAGCATCCTACATGTACTGTGCGATGATTACACTTAGTGAATATAATTTCTCCTGTGTGCATCCCGGTACTGTACATAACTTTGTATTAAAATTACTGATAACATAAAAATACATGCATATGTATGTGATATACATGTACCAGTAAAATGTCATAGGAGCCATAGGTTACTGTGCAACTGAGAACATAATTTGTTCTTCCTCATTTCCCTTCTTCCATCTACTTAATTTACAGTGTCACTCAGTTTGTCTGTCTGTCTGTTTGTCTGTCTGTCTGTCTGCTCTTTTGTGTATGTTCATTCTTCCAATTACTGTCTTTCTATCTGTCACTTATTCTCCTTGTTCTCCTCTGTCCAGTCACCCACCTGTCAGTTTTACCACTACTCTAAATTCCACCTTTAGGTTCATCTGTTGGATCATTTTACTGTACTTCCACCTGTAGACTTGTTTGTGTTACTTAAATTGAGTTACGAGAAAATACAGTTTTTTTGTTTTTTGTTGCTTTATTTTTTTAAATCTACATAAGATTTTGACAGTAAAAGTAATTTTTTTTGTGTGTGTGTAGGAGAACCAAGTCTGTTATGGGTTGACAAATATCAACCTTGCGCATTGAAGCAGATTATTGGTCAGCAAGGTGATAAGAGCAAAATGAGAAAGCTGATGAACTGGCTGAGAGGTTGGGAAAGGAATAGAAAGAAACCAGCCTCTAAATGTGAGTACATGTGTATTTGATTGTCAAAATGCTTTTCCCTCAAATACATGTGCATGTAACTTCTCTTCAGGCAAGTATGCAAACGGTTCGGGCAAACTGTCAGAGAAAGCAGATGAAAAAGTTTGGGTTGTAACCAGATAGGGGAACCATTTTAGTGGGGGAGTAGCAATTCTCCTAGTAACCTGATGCTACTGAAATTAATTTAAGCTTTGGCAAGATTAGTCCTCTGGCTCTTGTGCTGACTTTACCTTTGACCCTTTAACTCCCATAAGTGACCAAGACAGGATTTCTCCATACAATATCAATACAATATCAAGCAGGCAAGTTATGAAAAAAAACATTAATTAGGGGATTATTAGTTGATACAATACCAAATTATCCAAATCATAAGAATTTGATGGGAGACAGTAAGAAGTACTAGGGAGCTATGTGGAGTAAAAGGGTTCAGTGGATGAACCTAACCTTAATCTACAGATATTTTACAGAAGACCTTAAATTGAGTTGTGATGCAAATGTTGTCTAGCTGTAGGCTGAATACCTTTCACTCTGAATCCAGATTGTTTCTTAATTCCCACATTCAGAGATAAATTTTTTTAAAGAGCTGTAACTTATGAACTTTGATGAATTTATTTCACTCGACAGTCACTTATACATGTAGTTCGTATGTTAGTAATGGTTATTATTTTTATTTTGTACAGCTTCCTTTTTCAACAAAGACCAAGATGGGTCGTCCTTTAAGGCAGCTCTTCTGTTCGGTTCCACAGGAGTTGGTAAAACCCCATCAGCGACACTGGTTTGTGAAGAGCTTGGTTTTATGTACATTGAAATGAATGCCAGTGACACACGGAGCAAAAAGACCTTGGAAGAACACATTTCTCAGTCACTGAACATTAAAACCATGGATGGCCTTCTGACAGGTTGTCCAATTTCTGTAAGATTTGGAATGACTTTGATATTATTAAAGATGCTTCATTCATTCTCCTGTCTTACTAAACTGATTTTCCACTGTGGTCAATTTATTATTATCAACTGAGTTGGTAACGTAAATTGACCACCGAAAAGAGTACAGCACTTCATCTATACATTGCTACCTATGCCTGGTTTATAAGTTAACATGAAATTCAGTTGTTAATGATTATCAATATATGCATTACTGGTACCTGGAAAAGCTCGCCTTTCAGTTGGTACTTGAAATCATTAAAATTTACCTGACTTTTCTTTGCCAATGATGATAAGAACTGCCAGGGTTATTTAGCACGTTAGTGAGATCCTTAAAATATTGTGCAAATTGCTAAGCTAAGGAAGGTTTTGTGTTAAATTCAGGACGGTATGAGAATATATCACATGATGAGAGGCTTATACTTTTTACAGTTGATTGACCGAAAATGCAATAGACTTTGGTACTGAATAAGTAGTGAGTTGCCTTTTGTACTTTTAAAGCAGCTACAACAGATCAAATAAAATATGAAAGTTCGGCGATGTAATATCAAAGTGCTTTTTACATCAATCTGTTTTATTTTTGCTTCTTTTGCATTGTTATTATTATTATTGGTATTATCATTATTATTATTATTATTGTTATTATTATTATTATTATTATTATTATTATTATTCTGTTTTGAACGTCAACGCCATTTCAGTAATATATTTCAACACTGCTCGCATTAAAGTGTTGGGATGTCATCTCTGTGCCAGTTTGGATCGTTATGGATGGGAATGTTTCATTTGTTGACAAAATATAACGTAAATGAGAGCTTTAATCCACCGCACCACCTATCTCGAAGCGCGCGAAACTTATTCCTTTTCTTTTCTCAAATTCTTTACCTCCCCTACCACAGGCGTCCTAAGCTCACGTCTCGAGAAAAAGCCCACGATTAATTCATGAACGCGTCACGCGTTGTGTGACTCGGTGTTAAGTCACTAAAGGAACCGTTGAAAATTTGAACACGTTATAAGGAATAGTATGGGGAACGAAATATGGTCGATTTACAACGATAAATATTTCGAAATATGAATATTTTACACGTAAAATCAATAACGCTTACTCCTGTGTGGCTGTTGTAGTTTGCGGCGTTTTCTGCTGTTTTAAGCTTGCTTTACCATCACGATTATTCCTGTCAGGAATAACAATGATGGTAAAGCAAGCCTAAAACGGAAGAGTATCAGCATAGATACAAAATAGAATCATGGATCACGAAATAAACAATGATACACGATTTTCAGTTTCGAGTTCGATGAGCTCATATTCAGCTTCTTCAATACTGCTGATGTTACCAAGAGCACCGTTTTGTTACACACTTGTGGGGCAAATCACATTTTCACAGGAGTTAAGGTGAGGACAGAATTAGTTAATAGCGACCTAATGCGGTGAATGAGATAAACGGGTATTGACTAAAGAAACAAATAGAAATAATTTGAGACATGAGACACTAGAATGAAAGAAATGTCGATCTTATTTACTCGTCACGAACGCAGGATCAAATCTTAGACCGTCGGATCTTACGATTTGAAGTTCTCACATATTGCTGTAGATTTCTCGTTAATGAGCCATGGCATACAGTGGATATATAAAGGATCGTACTGCATACTGCCTAAATCATAAATGTCGAAAGTTTCATGTCTCAAAATACATAATTATAGAAAGGAAATTTCAAGCTCTTTCGTGACAGGAAAAAAATCATTTTAAACCAACGACCGAAAAAAAAAACCCCTATCCGTCAGATCAGGTTAAACGACAGATTAAATATCAGTGCTGACATGTAAGTAATTTATCTTCGCATGAGGGATTTACGAAGCTGCGGCATTTCTGATTCAAGTATCAAGTGCGTCACATGTCTGTAGGAACTATTATACAATTATTTATGGCCTTGCTTACTGCATCCAAACTCAGCAGACAATTCTGGAACTCAAAGAGACAGAGAGCTAGGGCCTCAGATTTCTCCTCCAACTTAAAGACAACTGGTTCAATAACAATTTATTCATAAAATTCCTGCAAGATACACTGAGGGTTTCTGCGCTCAAAGATGCATGGAGCACATAGATTTAATAAATTTTGAATATCTTCCTCGGATATTTCTTTAAGAAGAGCACTTATGGTATTCGCTTTAATTCTTTATAGCACGCGAAACGATTTAAATATGCTTTTCTTTAGATACAACGAGAAGTCAAGTATTTTTCTTGGAAAAGAACTTTATTGGAGTTAAATTTATTGCAAGTACTCTTCAGGTAAGGAAAGCTAATGAAGAAATATGTAGCATATTATAATCGAAAAACATGAAAATTGGAAAAAAATATACATAAAGAATACATTTTATTGATGTGATTTCTTTAGCTTTGTATATCTCCCTCCGGTGATGAATATGTGCAACTTGTTATTACAAAGTATACGTAGATATCAACGCAACAATCGGCAGATAAATTAGTGTTCATTGAGGGCAGAGAAAGTTATGGCTTATAGCGAATTATCTTGATGTAACACTAAATTTTCTTTACATGTGAGAGAAAGCCAATGAATGAAAACAACTGAGGGATGGATGCCCATTTCAACTTGTTCGGGACTCGACTACATACGAACAAACCCATCTTGATTTTGTGAATCAGCATCGTTTTCATATTAGGAAGGAACAGATTTTATTATTCAAAAACTGATTGTATCGGAATGAGATCCAGAGCGCTATTAAATTTCACTGGACACTTACGCTTTTGACTGCAAAAATATTTAGTGCAGAATTGGCGGGAGCTGTTTACAGTAAAAAAAAAAGTTCACCGTTATTATTTTTAGAAACGTTGTCACGGTGAAAGTGGAAAATGAAAATTTGAGAGAACTGTAACGCTAAAGGGAAGATGACCAAAAACAAATGTTTATCATATAAAATACGCTGATTGGTATCGCCAATCAGCTGCTGGACGTCACCCGCTTTTCGCGCCACTTTATTAGGTTGGTGAATGAATGGCAAATTCTCATTCCTTAATAAAGTCGCCTTTCAAGTTGTCTGTAAATGCCTATGGTGTTTATATAATAAACAAAATAATACATGGCTTCTTGTAGATATGGGATTACGATTCTCGATATCTCACGAGAGAGCGCATCGAACAAGGAATATATCGAGTTGATAACTTGAAGAGAAATTGCATTGGTACAATATAACTCACGGTGTGAATTCATCTTTATCGATTCAGTTATGCCAGAATGTAACATTCCCTGCTCTGAAGAGAAAAGGGATTTTGCGGATTGCGAGTATTTCGCAGTAAAAGAGAAAGAGCTGCATTAAATTACAAACTGAGTCAATTAATAGTCAGGCAGAAACATGTAAACAAATAATAGTCATAAAAGAATAAAACAAACAAAAAAACAAGCACAATAATGCGGGTATCAGCGGCCATCCCGAGGGGTCGACCCCCGGGCACCCAGGGGCATTTGTCACAGCTGCCGTGACAAATACATGCTAAAGCCCCTCGGGTAGGGCAAAAATTGGGACAAATACCCCCACCCCTGGAGCAACCTGGGCAACATATAGTCGGTGTTGCCTGTTCCTCGATGCAAAAGTACGAGTGATCATGGTTTACTGAAGCCACATATCAGCACTAAAATCCACACAAGTCTCTATGGAGTCCTCAAATTCGAGCTTTCTGGGGGCAAACTTTCTTGGCTTGCGGTTGTTCATCACACTGTCTCTTCCTATCGGCAAGACGCTTCGAATGCGAACTAACCGTATGAAATTGAAATCTCGATGTCGCTTTCCTTAAAATGCAATGAACAGATTCTTGGATCGCCGAGTGCCTTGAATTTTTTATCCGCTCGCTTACAGAAAACCTCCCACTTCTTACGCTCATTGGGCCTTGTAGGAAAGCAAAAATAACAGCAGATTACGTGCAAATCCCGTGGGTATGGCCCCGGGGTATTTTGCCAAAAACGCAAAAGCGCTCTAATGCCCCGCGTGCAGGGCATGCCTTTGCTACAAATCCCCTGCTAAGCCCGTGGGTTGCCCTTGGGTTGCCCGGGGGTCGACCCCTCGGGATGGCCGCTGATACCCGCATAATAGCCGCTCCCGCTAAGAGCGATCCTCTCGACTTCCCGTCGGAAAAAAGTTTTCTTTTATTTTTTGCCCATGAAAAGGGTTTAGGGCACATGTTTCAAAAACAGTTTAGTTGTTCTCCAATTCTCTTTTTTTGCGTCGCCACAAGCCAAAAATCATTTTTGGCCAGACTACCCATGTGAACAGCGATCGAAAGTGTCAATTTCAAAGATTTCGTCCAGCGCGCAGCGACTGCAACAATGTAGCTCACGGAATTCTATCTTGCTACAAGTTACAAGGTGTATTCAGTTAGTTCACAGACAAAATATGGAAACTTCAGCTGAAATATTTTTCATACCAGCATGATCAGAGGAGACCCTGCTCTTCGACCTTAATTTGCATATCAAAAATTCACTACTTTGTACGAAAGAATTCTCAAAAATCCAGGCGTTAATCGGGCCCAAAAAGCATATCAGTGCATAGTTTATACACCAATGAGGTAACAGATTGCCTCAAACCCGCGGGTATATCTCTAGCTTCCATCCACCAACTTCTTAAAAACAACGCAAATCCATGTGTTTCCTCAATTGCGCTCGTGTCAAAGATCATTTGCATGATTCTTGGAATTAACCAAGATCTCCTTTTGACAGTTCAAACTTCGTTCGTTTATCTTCTACGTTAAGGATTTTAGGTTTTCCCAGCAAGTGAATGGCGATTAGATGCCGAGTTGTCCTAAAACGTTGCGTAAACGTGATCGGTCGTAACGCTTGCGCGCTTGCGTGACTTACAAAGTAGACAAAGGTGATCGGAAGGCGCCTTCTCGATAATTTACGTTGAAATATCAGGTCATGAATTATGCACAGTGTGGAGAAGATCAAAATTAAAGAATAAAATTTGGCACTCTGGTCATAACAGACATATCGCGTTGTTTGAAAGGACACAAAAACAAGTTAAAATAAGTTGCAGTGTTTATATTTATAAAACAACACGCATACACTCTGAAATAATTCTTGCAGTTTCTCCCGAGATTTAGAATACGGAACCCGATGAACTAACCCTCCTTTTCGCAGGTTTGTTTCCATCACTAATGATGTTACGCTCTTATGGACCACAACGGTTTTGAGCGACAAACTCGACATTTCCCGGCGACCATCAAAATCAACTGGACAAACCCAGCTTGATATATTGCGTGACGTGATTGTAAAAATTTTTCCCCTTGCCATATGGCCTGTTTCGTGGGTTCTACAAATTGAAACCAAAATTAGTTAGTGTAACAAATTCGAATCGAAAGTTATTAAAATGGACTGAATTAAATTTTAATGAGAATTTTAACTTTTAAAAAGTTTTACTTGATTCATGGAAAGCAAAGATTGGAGTGGCTTTGGATATTTAAGCCCTGATTTCTCTCCTGGGACGACGTATCGAGTTATTTGAAGTACTACCAGCTATCCAGCGAAATCC